AAGTTTTTCGAGTTCACCATTCTCACGCCATATTAGAAAACAATGTGCATGGCAAGTCTGTCAAAAACCATGAATGCATCGTCGCTCGCTTTGTCTGCTTGCACGAGTGCTTCTATTTCTTGGTTAAGCTTATCTAAAGCCTGAGTACAAACAACTTGTAACTCTTTCTGCTTATGTGAATGTGCCTCTATTACTAGTCTCTCTAAGGCACCCTTCAAGATGCTCATAGCTGTCTAAAAAAGTGTCACACAGCTTCTCGGTTACTTTCTATTTATTATCCAGCCACGTGTATCACTGCAGGTCTCAATTTTTCATTCCTTTTCTGACAATGTTTATAAGTTTCTCCTAACTAAATCTGACTCGTACAACCCATCTTACAAGTGAATTATCTGTACATAGCAATAAAGTCTTATAAAATCGAATTATCTGTACATAAACATTTTGTTATACTAGATTGTAGTTTCCTCTGCAAAAGAAACAGAACAGGTAAGCCTGAGTGATGGTTTCTCCAACGTCAGGGCAGGATTTTGTACCGAATCAGAATCGAGACAGTTTCTTTCTAGCACCAAAATTGCGTGACGCGCAGTGGAAATTTTGCTTACATCGAAGAATTATTAAAAATCAAACAATTGATAAGCTTTCTTGTTTCGTTTCTTTTTCTTTCAACTTTATTTTTAGAGTTACGGTAACAAGGATATCGGTAAATGACAATAAAAACTATTGAATCTAAGCAGACGTGCCAAGAAACATACTTATGCCATTCCCTCCGGGCATCCCTGTGACCTACTTACTCAGACCCAGTTGGAACGCCTTCACTGCAGGAGTCGCTGACGAGGTATCGACCAACTGTGCGAGGGAAATCGGAAACAGTGGAGAGTAATAGGGCTTCATCAGCGATCACCACTACCCGATCCGAGAGGTACCGATCCACCCAGAGCAGGAGAGAGAGCAGCCACCTAATAGACCAAGCTGAGAAACAATAGTTTCGTTAGTGATTATTCAAAGCTATATTGATCTATCGCTTCACTCTCCCTACTATACTCCGTATAAATATTCTATGAATATACTCACAATCATAACCTATGCCCCAAATCAATTACTATTCGTCTGTCGAGAAGCATTTGAACGGCTTCTTGTACTTGATAAGTTGTAACATATCTAACTTCTATGTAATATAAATGAGATCTCATAATAATGAGCGGAACTGCTTTATGTCGCTATCAAACATCTGCTCGCTAATAACCTCTGCCCCCAAATAATATCCACTGGAATCCATAGAGCGGAGCCTACGCGGCCTTTGTACGTAAAGAAGGCAGAGTTTGCTTCTTTTAGTGATATGGCATGGACTTGACCGTGAGCACGCCCGAAGCTTCGTGGAGGATATAGGCAAGGTCTGCCAAAAGACCAGCATAATGATGTCATTTTTTGTATGTTTGTGGATAACCATCCATTGAGATGAGTGTTCCCGTATGAAATAATATTGTTAATTTTTACTCTATACTCAGTGGGTTATGCTTCTCTGAATATTAGAAGAAATACGTGAAGCTTTTTATGAGGTTATGCCTCCAAAAAAGTTTGTGATGAGAGCCAAAGCGGTGCGACAGAGAAAAACGGCTGATTACATATTTATAAGTACGCGTGTCGCGACCGATAAACCTGATAACAATCAGTTTAATCGGTTTTATTGTTTAATATCATTGTTGTCTATGCAGTAAGGGTTTTTACTGTTGTAAACATATTATTAATACGTTTGATACAATAGTTATTAGTTGTTTCCGAAAAGAGAACGAGTCAATGTCATAAAATATATATATATATTTCATGTATGATGGTTAATATTTTCTCCCTTTGAAGTAAAACAGCGCGTACTTTTCTACGTGTCAATTTTATTGGATATAAATCATCTACTTCGAGATGTCACGTTAAGTGATTAAGACCAAACTCGAATCCGTAACTCATGTAATCTACTTGAAATTAAACAGCACTACGTCTCCACGATAAATTGGGACTTACTTTAACAATAAAAGAAACAAGGTAGTTGTAAAGTGTCTATCCAACACAAAGATGTAAGTTTGTGCTGTTAAGTAGAGCAGCAATACAGCAGTTGCTATTGAGTTTAATAATTGGTCAGCACGTAGGAAATACGATACAATGTGATGGCAGCGATTCGAAATGCCGCAACATCGGTTCTGCCGAGCCTGCATTACAAATTTCAGATATGTAGTAAAAATTTGATGATGAAGAATAGTTCTTAGTGCAATTATTATAAACGCAGCTACTGATAGGATAAAAGAAACAGTAAAAATACGATGAAAAAAGAAGGTTCTATTAATTACTAATCCGCTTTGCTACTATTTACAATAGCTCGCTTAAAAGTTAGAAGGCACGTACCAACAAATTATAGATTTCTTTAACATTGTTGTATGTCAGATCGGAATTTATGTCAATTCCCGAAGTAACATACTGTATGTCAGATCAGAACTATTCAATAAAACATTGTCATATTTATTTTATTGCTAATTTTCTATTATTCTCATATGACACATGTCAGTTTGGAAGCGTCATAAAATTCTGATCTGACATATATCACTTCGGAATTCCGATCTGACATACAACAACATTAAAGTAGAAATACTATGAAATTTATTGTAATATAATATTGTCAGCAAGAACTTATTAACTATATGAGCTAAAAACCTTGCATCAGCTATCAAGGGAAGGGTTAAGACTGAGCGTAGGGATACCGTAATTTCAGGATCAACAACAACATAATAATTCAAAAAGAAAAAACAAGCCACATATTTATGGAGTATACAGCGTTTATAAACAGGTTTTTTGAATGTTATTATTAAAAATTTTCAGTGCATTGAAATACAGGAAACATATTGATGTCTTATGCTATTAGTTCTCACAAAGCAATTTAACTGGCATTTTTACAATAAAATCTTTTCGTATACAGCTTTACTTGTTGCCAATTTGACTTCTGCAATCATTGCAAATATTTAAAGAACACCTATTACTACTTGTTACTAACCAATTAAAAAATTCTCAATTTCCAAAGTGGAGTATGTTCATATATTAATATATCAATAGAAGTTTAATCTTCAACCTAATTACTGACAATTATTATTATTATTGCAACATAACTTAATTATTAATTTAATTACTACTTCTTTTTTAAGTCATCTACTGCCAAGTGGCGCCGGCTGCGTTAACGTCTGTAATTGAGAAGACAAACTTGCGAGTTAATGGACAAGTCGATGAAACATTCCTGTTATGGCACGCATATAAATCTAAATTTTAATAGACTGTAACCACATTTTCCCTTATATAGATAAGCATAAAATAATACGAGTTTAACAACAAATGTGACATTTTCATCTCTACATTGAATGTTGTCCATAAATAACACGATTCGTTCTTATTCGTCGAGGCATCTCTTACATTCTCGCCCATACCACTAGACAATAACATTATTATAATCCGTAAATCTGTTAATATTAAGCTCGCCCTCATAAAATAACGATTTTTAATTTTCCAGCATTACATAACCCCAATGTTGCAAGTTTCCAAATCTGGCATTCGTCCCCCGTTATGGTTTCATCAAGTAGCATCGCGTTTCCCCCAAAATTTTTTCTCTCAAATTTCTTATAGACAGACGGGGAGAAAAAAGCCGTCATGTTCACCGCACGAGGTTTCGCTCGCTTTTCGCGACGAACTACAACCGTCGCTAGGGCAAGCACAGCCTTCTTTACGAGGCCTAGTGCTTTACAGCTCGCTGTTCGCAATTATGTAGCAGAACCAAAGCAGACCGTTGGGCACATTCGTTCGGTGATTGGTGCTGTCGTTGACGTTCAGTTTAATCAGGATACCTTGCCTCCTATATTAAATTCTTTAGAAGTGCTTGACCACAAAGGTGGTCGTCTTGTATTGGAAGTTGCTCAGCACTTGGGTGAAAATACCGTTCGTACTATTGCTATGGATGGCAAGTTTTCAGTTATTCCTAGACCTTACCTTTGATAAATCAATTTCATTTAATTAGCCCCATAATTAGCTCGTATTCAATGCCAACTATTTATACAGGTACTGAAGGTTTGGTTCGTGGCCAGGAAGTTCTCGATACTGGGAGTCCTATCAGCATTCCAGTTGGTCCAGAATGCTTGGGTCGTATTGTCAATGTCATCGGCGAACCCATAGATGAGCGTGGACCAGTAAAGACAAAAAAGAAATCGGCCATTCATGCTGAACCTCCAGAATTCGTGGATCAGTCCACCACGCCTGAAGTTTTGGAAACTGGTATTAAAGTCGTAGATTTATTAGCCCCTTATGCCCGAGGTGGTAAAATCGGTCTTTTCGGTGGTGCCGGTGTTGGTAAAACAGTATTGATTCAAGAACTTATTAATAACGTTGCCAAGGCACATGGTGGTTACTCTGTGTTTACTGGTGTCGGTGAGCGAACACGCGAAGGTAATGATTTGTATCATGAAATGATACAAACTGGTGTCATTAAACTCGATGGCGAGTCAAAAGCTGCGCTAGTATTCGGACAAATGAATGAGCCACCAGGTGCTCGTGCTCGTGTTGCCTTGACTGGATTGACAATTGCTGAGTATTTCCGTGATGAGGAAGGCCAAGACGTATTACTGTTTATCGATAACATCTTCCGCTTTACACAAGCTGGTTCGGAAGTGTCTGCCTTGTTGGGGCGTATTCCTTCGGCTGTAGGTTACCAACCAACGTAAGTTTATAACATTTTCTGCTCTTTTAATTGTTATTTCACTTGAGATATCTTCGTTTGATTTAATACTGCTGTATTATCTCATACAATCTCCTGTGTAATCATAATGATAGTTTGGCTACTGATATGGGTAGTATGCAAGAGAGAATTACTACTACAAAGAAGGGATCTATTACATCTGTACAAGCTGTATACGTGCCTGCTGATGACTTGACAGATCCGGCTCCTGCTACGACTTTTGCCCATCTTGACGCTACAACTGTCTTGTCTCGTCCTATCGCTGAATTGGGTATCTATCCCGCGGTCGACCCTCTTGATTCTAAATCACGTTTATTAGATCCACGTATTGTGGGTGAAGAACATTATGACATAGCTACCAAAGTACAGAAGATTCTTCAAGACTACAAATCTCTTCAAGACATTATTGCTATTTTGGGTATGGACGAATTGTCAGAAGAGGACAAGAAAGTCGTCGAGCGAGCGAGAAAGATCCAGCGTTTCTTGAGTCAACCCTTCCAAGTAGCTCAAGTCTTCACTGGTTTTGAAGGAAAACTCGTCTCACTGAAGGATACCATTCGATCGTTCAAAGAAATTTTGGATGGCAAATGCGATGATCTGCCAGATAACGCTTTCTACATGGTTGGTGATATTGACGATGCCAGGAAGAAGGCTGAAGGTATGGACATATATTGTGTATCATAAAGATGGTAATTTATAATTTATAATAACTAATAACCCGAATTACTTTTCATTTATTAGCCATTGCAAGAGAACTCGCTTCATAAAGAAATCGTTGCATTAACATGACGTAAATAAATCCGTTGCCAAATTAAATTTTGGATTTTTTTTTTTAAAATTAATTAAATCTTAAAAACAATTATCCGTATTACACAAACAATCTCTTGGTTATAATGAATGGCATAAATAATATTGTTTATGAGCTTTTTAATCATGACTTTGCTTCGCATTCAGTTAACAAGATCACGTATTACATTCTGTATGGTCAAACACCTCTTTAACATCTGGTTGACTTATTCTTGTACAATGCATGACTGAAGTTAATGCAAAAACAGCGCTAAAAAATCTTCTCAAGAAGCATGTCAGAGATATTATTCCTTGCGGGTACCCTCCTCTTATCAGCAGTCGATTCAACATATAAATGACTATCAGTGCTTCCAAAGCCATGAACTTTATCTCGTCCGAGACAAGCGGCAATCTTCTGTCTAGCCGGAAAGCGGGTCTCTCTCCTCAATACATCTGTCAATATCCTATTCGTACAGTATTTGCTGATGAGCATTACATTACAGAACGAAAAACAGTAGATTACCGATAGGCAATTTTTCATGCCTCGTTCTTCCCGAGCAGTACAGTTATGCAAAGTATTGACAAGTATATCGTAATCCTGGCACTAACCAATAGTCGGACCAACTTTGAGGAACAATATGTGCACCAACCGCTGCATGGCAATTGCTTCAACGAGCAGGCGTCGAGTTTCATACGTTTGCTCTGGTATATCCCGAGGATATAGAATACATGATCGACAAATTATCATTGACGCGACAGAGTTTACAGCCGCATATGACTTTTCGATAAATACAAAATTTGAGACGATGGTAGGGAAAGAAGCCTTTTCGCAGATACAGTGCAACATTCGCCGAGGAGGAATCTCATAGTCTGTGTAAAAAAGAGAAAGAACGTCAGTACAAGTGTAAGATCAATCCTATTCGAACATTCTGTATTGATAAATCATAGTGTCTGACGCACATGACCATAATAGTTTGTAGAGAACGTCTCTCCCAATGATCGTGCCTTATTCGGCATACAATACCCAAAAATTTCAGGCAATATGGAAACTTGTTCTGACATCCAAAGTATACTTGACGACCTTTTTCTCGGAATCAGTTTTGTGATCTTCTTCACTGTCGAATGTACCACTACAAAGCACTGTAATCGGATACTGAAGACATAAGTTCGGTACGATAAACCCAGAGTGCCATGTTGGCTGCTCCATCAGATCATCCACACACGGTAGCCACAATCCTGTTCCACCGGGCGTTGGTCGATTGATCGTACATACGTGAGGTAATAGATCGCCTTCCGGCGATGTGGCCTCGGCAAACCTTGTGGGTTGGTTAAGCCGTATTCAATGTAGACACAGAAAGAAGGATCACAAACCATTTCGTTGAATGAGACGCAAGTAAAGACATCAATCACGAAATTGGCCTCGATGAGGTTGATTGTCACTCTGTTTATTGCTATTGATGAATTGAATAATCCACGTATTATTATTTGCGCCTAGAAAGTTCTGACATACGTTCGCGAATGCTTACTTATTTGTCGGCAATGCAACACTATCGACGGAATTACTTCCCGTAATGGCTTAAAATACAAAGTCTACGACGCAATTCGCGAGATCAGGAACAGTAGTGATTATCTAAATCCGAAATAATAAAAGACACGTAAGATCTTAAAGAAATTGCTTTGTCGACCGTCAACAGAGCCTCCATGTATTAAAAAAGCATTAAAAATATTTACCGACCTTTCGTGTCCATTTATTTACATCGACCGTTCTGCTCATGGAGCATTGTGCGTCTGATGAATGACAACAATTAAAGGATTAGGATTGGCATAAAAAGTCAATAATTAGGAAGGATGTTACCAGATAACGTATACCAAAAGACAAACGAGTGATCATCCTACTTGAGCGTAAGCGCATTAATTATTATTACGCAATTCTTCCCTTTCCGCCTGGCTCAGCTTGTGATCACCTGTAGTAATAGGAAGCGAGATCACGTGGATATGTTCATGTTACATAAATTGTTTGATTTTCCCAAATGAAGGAAATACCCAAATGAGTACTGAAGAAAGCGGCACAAAAAAAATCAAAAAAAGACGGAAGCATAAGCAGTCAAGTAAAGAATCTGGAAAACGCTCAGGCCTTCATAATGCTATCGTGAGCCCGTGCGATTCGGCAACGCCTGAACCGGCAAGTCCCAAAACTAATGAAGGTTCTCAAACTTCAGAGGAACCAGTAGACATCGTTGATATTTCCAACAAAAAAGCTCCAAAATACACCGAACAAGAAATGTAGGTACATACGATTTACTTGCAAAAAAGACAACATGGTTTATGTAACCTGGTTTGTCTAACTTCCAGTAAGGAGCGCTTTCCCACAGTCGATGAGTTTCTTCGTCGGCAAAGATTAATTCGGCTTGGACACGTTCTAGCTGCGGATGGAACAATTATAAAAAGACGCGTAAATAATCATTGTTGTTGTAGTTCTATGAATTGCAAGCCCTTCTCTCTCATGCATGATCTATTCATTCAGAAACCACGGGCGGGTTTTGAAGGAACACGTGCTGCTATAGAAGATAGGATACAAAGTCTACCGAAACGCAAAGCTCTGAGGGAAATTGATAAGACGAAAAAGAAAACTAAAATTTTACCGTAAAAAGTGCATCGAATTGAGGTATGACTTGTTGGTGAATGAGTGAACAAGACTCTTGATCGAAGATTGTTTCGTTAGATTGCATATTATTTATCGCTGTTATATATCGTTTGATCAATAACATTATAGCATAATTTATATGCAGTAAATAAGCATATTTTGACGGTATTCGTTAGCTTGTACGATTGCCGTTAAGATGCATTGTCAGTAAGCCTCCCTTATACAAGACCTTTATTGTAATATTGTCTTCCTCTACTTTAGTGAAAGAAATAAAAACAAAAAAAAATTGGACCAGGATCCATAAACAAAGTACCCTTTATTAATAAATGCGTTACTGTCTTGGTCGTAACTATAACGTGTGAAGTGGCTGTCGGCGTCAAATGGAAGAATCATTGCAGATGAGTGATAAAATACTGGTTACGATGGGACACTAGTAAATTCTCTTGATTCGAATTCGTTTCAGGATATGTGTCATCATTAATCTTACAGGAATATGGGATCCGGACATTTCGGTTGCTGACAATCTGGTTGGTTGTTTGATCATTTTGATTGAGCATGAGTAATCGGAATTGAGGTCGGATTTTGGAAGGTCGTTCATAGTGAGTGCAATATTTCTTTTCCCTATAATGGTAACGATGACCAAAGATTTATCGTTGCATCGGTCAACAGCGCGATCCGTCACCCTTAATATTAATATTAAGGAAGACAGGACAGGAAAGTAGTATCACGTGGGTTTCAAGAAAGCTGTTTATTATAACAACGTGTATATACCTGGTCACTATGTGTTGACGAACTTACACCAGGTAATGGGTATACCTGGCTACACGAGTATATTAATATACAAATTAATAATAAATGACTGCTTGCACGTGAACTTTGTCAGCTGTCATTCAAGACATGTATTGTCGCAGTAACGTCATTGAATGGAAAAGGGCATGTGTTGAAAAGAAGCTTTTCCCCTGTGTTCTCGTTATCAAAAATTAGTTACGCATTTTTGTTTGTAACAGCGAATTCTTGGCATGTGATTGGGCTTTCGCACATTTATTTCTCAGGAGCTAATTATAATGGAGTTTTAAATGGAGCATTCATGGTTTTTGACAGACTTGCCATGCACATTGTTTTCTAATATGGCGTGAGAATGGTGAACTCGAAAAACTTACAAAAACGGTGGCGTGCTAATAATCAGCAACGGCTAGGCGACTTGCGATTTTATTTTAATATCTTCCTGAACTTTTACTTTCAATTTACGAGAAACACTAATCTGATGTTCTTATAGATTCTATCGACATCTCATGTAAGATGCCAATTCGATACTGACGAAGACGATGTAACCCATCGCACTAATAATTGTGCCCTAACCCCGTTGAGCTTGACAGGACGAGAAGAACTGAGAGAAGCTTAATAGCAAACTTCACCAATCAACCAGCGCGAATGCCGATGAAATAGAAAGAATTAAAAGAATGTTGCAAAAGGATTATGATGATACCGTTTAAGCAATTATTGATCTGACATTGTGCTAGTGAATGAGAAGCTAACTAAGAATGATCGCTCTTGCTTTAGAATGTATTCCGTGTATGGCGGCTAATCAAGTCATTGTAAAGCATTTGACAAAAATATTCTCATATATGTTGCCGTATTCAGATTACGGTTCTCTAACATAAAAGGTGTGATTGACATGGTCATCCGTTTTTGGACAAATCCCTGACTGTAATAGGTATTACACAGCCGACTGAAAATGTTAGTTTCTTTATCAGAATAGACAAAGGCACCGCCACCTTGGTTAACAATATTTACAGGTTCCCTGTCAATCGTCTCCATTATCAAAGAATAGACTATTACCAAACAGTTTCCTCTTCCTTGTTAATACAATAAAAGATGAGTTCATTTTACGCGTATTCAGATATGCCTTCGTCAAATTTAATGATTCCTCAACAACCGCCTAGAATTTACAGACTGGAAGTTGCCCAGCAGCCCATAAGGGCTAGGATGTGTGGGTTCGGTGAAAAAGACCGGCGACCGATAGATCCACCTCCCGTGCTTCGCCTCATTGTGACTACTCCTGACGGAAAGCCCATACCCGTGAGTTCTGTGGACCACTCAATGTTTGCCGTTCACGCAGGACTATGGTCAAATAACCGCAAGAAAGAACGTAATCTTGTCATTAACCCTTCCTCCATGGCAGCTCATTCCACAGGAACGTCATCAAGCGTTCTTTCATGGAGTCCAACATGTACACGTAACCTTATGGGATCGTTAACTTCATCTGCATATTGTCTGTTCAATGATCATGGACAACGGGGAATTTATTTTATATTTCATGATCTTTCTGTGCGAACGGAGGGAACCTTTACCTTAAAGTTTCAGTTTGCCGATATCAGTCAACTAATCAGATGTGGAGGTCACCAGAGCCAGGTGCGTGTTGAGGCTGAAGTATTTAGTGAATCGTTCACAGTCTATGCTGCGAAAAAATTTCCCGGCATGACAGAGTCCACGGACCTCTCAAAAGCATTCGCCAAACAAGGTATAAAAATTCCTATTCGTAAAGAACGGCGATATTCTAGACCTTTTCTCGATGATTATCAAGACGGGGAAAACCCACATCCGGAAACTACGTCGCTTTTTTCGAATGAAGATCCCAATGTGAATAAGCCAGTCGATGGCTGCTCTGATGATAATAATAATGATGATGATGATGATGATGATGATGTCACCGATAACAATGTTCAATTAAGCACAACTGACAGTCAGGACTATCCAAGTTATGAACAAATAAACACTTGAACTGTGGCTACACAATCTCGAGGGATATTTGAATCAATTGCTATTGATTATATAAGAAACCATATAGATATTATTAACATAAGTCGAATGTAGTATGTTGTGAAAACTCCTGCTATATATTTTCTTATTAACAGAGCCGGATTACTATGCACTCCTCTATGTCTTGTATGTAAGATCATCTGGAACACTGTTCTGTTAATAAACGACGATTATATTATTGTTTACGATGTCCTACATTAGAAAGCGAATAGAAGATTCCTAAACCTAAACCTAAACTTGACTCGAATACCAAACAAAGATAGTCAATTGTAACGTTTTTATCTAGCTGTTGGTCAAGCATCCAACACAAAAAGACATAACTGAACCGAAAGAAGCGACTAATATAACTTTTTAACGTCTATGACTACCAAGCATATGAACCGATACGAGAAAATGTAAACTACGTATTCGCTGTAATAACTCGGTATATACTGTAAAACGAGTAACCAATTATTGTTATGCATTAATATTATATATTGTCACATATGAGAGAATACAGCATTTTCCATCCATCGTGACACGTGCATCTATCAGTTATACTCCCTCAATTTTAACAAGATAATATTTAACGCTTTACATAAGTACCTCGTATTATGTGTTGATCCAATTTTAAGTTTAGCTCGGACAATATCTAATTGAAATTTAGACTATCGATGTATTGGATTTCTTAAATTACTTTAGTATAAGTCTTGTTTATAGCTAGCTTTGTGAGGCATACAATTGGATTAGGGGCATACTGTTCTTGCGTTCAACCAAAGAAAAGGTGCGCGAGACATTGACACAACAGAGTACGTGCTACGCAAACAGCAACACGCGAAAGCGTTTTGTCTGGCAAAACGTAATATCAACTGTTTGCAAGTGTAAAGAGAGAAGGACACACGTTCTGCATTCATTTATTATTGACTGCAGAAATTACGAAGAAACTGATGAGTATAGAGCAATAAAATTGTTGCGTGCTTTCCTGGACAGCCTTTTATTCTCGCCTCAGCTGCTTTTGGCCAACAACTTTTCTTTTAAATTATTCAACTTTTGCACAGCACATGTATTGCAACATAAAGACTAACGATTATTAAACAATATTAAGTAAATAAACGTTGAAATTATCTCTCAAGCTTAATTCAGGGCAAATCTTTGATATAGCATTCTGGCTAGTCAACATTCCCATCACTCACTATGATTTAACTTATTTGTTAACAATAAAAACTAGATTTTATCGAGTTTTTCGTATTCGTATATTATAATTGCATAAACTATAGTTAATTGCATACCGATAGACATTTTAAAAAACTGAAGGCAAGTTTTATTATAAAATAAAGAAACTTGAAACTAGCAAATATTAATTCAATAATTTTGACGATGGAATTCGAGCCCGTATTTATATCTTTTCGCGATCGATAATTCTCTACGCATTAAGGGCAACATTTAAATTGCACGGTGTTACAAGTGGTTAGGCAAGATTTATCATGTGAGTTACCGATCTAATTTATCAAATATGAGACATCGCCATTTGTTGTTATACGTATACATATAAGGAGATTGAAGTAGAACAAGATGAGGAGGCAGCTGAATGATATCATTTAGCTGCTGAACAAGGACATGCTAGTGCACAATTAAATCTTGCTGTTTATTATGAGAAGGGAATTAGAATAGACAAAAGGGGTACCCAAAAGCAGCTGAGCAAGGAAATACTAGTACACAATATAATTTTGGTTGTTATTATCAAAGTAGTCTTAGATCGAAAATAAATTTCAAAGAGCTTTTGAATTATTTCGGAAATCTGCTGAGAATGGAGACTCCTGTGGACAATGTAGCCTTGGCCAGTATTAGTATTATAAAAAGGAGATTAAGGTAAACTAAAAGATCTTAAAAAGTAATTGAACTGGTACTGGAGAGAAAAGCAGTTGTCAAGAAAATGTCATTGCACAAACTCATATTGGTATATGTTACAAAAATGGAATTGGAGAGAAAAGGATTTTCGGATGGCTATTGAATTGTTCCAAAAAGCGGCTGAACAAGGACATACATATGGTTAATATAATCTTGGTATTGTTGTAAAAATGGAATTGGGATAGAACAAAATAAACACAAAGCAATTGTGCTATATTAATATCAAAAGGCAGTTGAACAAGATTACATTAAGGCACACAAAATAAATTTTATATTTTTGAGCATAATAATAAACCCAAGCGGAAAAAAGAAAAGTTCTAGAATTAAACAAAATGTATTTATGCAAAAGTTATTAAAGTGGTAAGAAATTAATATATTACGTAATATATATGTTAATGTGTCAATATTAAGTTATTGGGATTTATAATTGAGTGTTTTAATTATTGTACTTGTAAACAGCAAAAGATTGATATCAATTATTGTTATAGTTAATCATTATTATTAATTAATAAACCTACATATTAAATAGTAAGATAAAAAAACTTATTACTATATCCATCTAATTTGTTTTTATATCATTTGTAAATTTTGCAAGGGAAACCATTTCCTGGATTTTCACCAGAGTTACAAACTTTATTTTCATCATTTTACTAGTCCCCTTGCAAATAAATAAAGATGACTTTACACATATTCCCAAATTCAATATGCAAAACATTGATTGATGGAAATGCAAATATTGGCTTTTGTTTTATTGATAGCATTATGACTGGAAAAGTAATTAAATATGAATTGAGTCAGAAAAAATATAGTAAATATGTTACTACAGTATATTAAAATGCACATTGCACAGCCACATGATTATTTATTAAATATGCTTTATTTTTATTTTTTACATGTAATGCAGAACGTCTAATATCTTGCATTATAATTGTTTTGAAATGCTATATTAATATATCTAACTCTAAATAATGTTTACCTAATCAACCATGTTTAATTATTAATAACAACATTTTTTCAATACATCATAATTATTTCTGCCACATAACAACCCACCATCCAGTTTATTATTCCAGTATTCCATAATATTATAGAATTCTAAACCAAAACAAAATGGCAGAGTATCAGACACACTTTAGTAAAACAACTGTGAATGTAATGTATTGAAATTGCATTACATTAATAAATATACCATTTTTCCAAAGTTATCTGTAAAATTCTCCATAAAAGCTTGAAATTCCAGAGAATAAAAGATATTTATCAAGCCAGGGACACGTTTATAACTTACCAGCAACGGGTTGCTCTATGATAACGCGGAAGTATTTTTTGGGGTAGTTTGATAATAAGAAGCAGGAAATAGAAAAAAAGTGCAAGAATAAGTAAGTATTAGTATTCAGTATTATTGGCGAATATGAATGACATGGTGTGAGCGAGAGAAGACGAAAAAAAATACACAGTATCATATTGACTAAACTTGTTGAAATTCACTTACCAGTATCAGGAGCTCTAACTACAACTTGAATGTTACCTCCTTGGACACCACGAAAAGTTTCTCCAATTGTTTTTGCTCTATCCTCTAATTTGTCGTTAATAATTGACTCTCCACAGTTTAAGCTCGTCAGACGCAAATGCATTATAGCATACTTGTCTCTTCTCTTTAATACGACTTTGAATTTAGGATTATTTCGTAGATCAAAACATTAAAGTATGATTTGTATACCAACGATTGCGACAGGCATCGTCATGTTAATATTAACAATAGCTACAATATGGAAAGATAAGTAAAAAATTTTTTTCACAAAACAATGGAGCTGAATATATTATATATAAGAAATCGATGTTGCTGACATAACAGATGATAAGCGCGAGACGTACTTTGCAAGCGATAGAAAAGTGTAAATGCTAGACTAACATAAAGTTTCTATGCTACAACCGCAAACTCTCCTTTATCTTTCAATAAATGACATTTATTAATAATGATTATAATCAGTGGCTTATTATGCTTTTCTCCCAACTTGAGTTTATTAAGACAATATTTTGAGTGATAAATTTGCTAATTTAGGAGTTGATTCTCATTGCTACAGTACCATGAGCCATGTAATCCATAATTTCCATGTTTTTTATCGCAAACAGGACATGGTGAGCTTTACGGCTGAGCAAATGCACAATTATAATTATCAACTCCCCTATAACTATCTCGGAATTTTAATGTGCGAAATGCTCTAAAACGGGATGTGTAATTAATTTTGGCTTCGAAAGTGATAGACTGAAAGCAGGAGCTTTCTGATATAGTTGTCACAGCTTCTGATAATTGTCATGGTTCATGCTCAGTTTCTTTTTGTATAAATAAAACGAACCTTATCTGTCAAAAACGCTTGGCACATGCCAATCCATATATTCTGGGGTTAATTCTTACAGCAGACATAATGGCATAATGCTATTACAAGTTTATTGCCATGTAAGTTGTAGAAAAAACAAACAAGCAGACAATTGTCATTATACAATATATGTATTTGGTAATAACCAAACGTACACTGGTAGAATTTTTTTTTGCGCCAAGTATTATGTATGAGAAGAAGCGCTCTATACGTGAAATGCTACATTCAAATGAACAATATCGCCATAGATAAACTCTCAGAACGACATTATTGAATTGATTTGGGTTAGCATAATGCTCTAAACGCTTTACAAGAATAATCGCCGAGTGATAATATAAAGGCTTTCAGTATCGAGCTGGCTTCCAGCCTATTTGACACATGTTGTGTAACAAACGTACGTATACTGATGCGACTATTTGAAACATGTTTTTTCATTGCAGTGTTTCACGATAATCTTTTAGTTCAGGAAAAACGGAACAGTCGGAAGAGGGTGCCGGCCATCTAAAATTCTTTTTGCTCATTGTGATGAGAAAACTAACGATATCGGGAATAGTTATAATTAGTAGACAATAAGAACAATAGTAAGCGCAATAGCCACAATGACGAAATTAATTTGGTATACAAGGACCCAATGTAAATAATTAAGTCGTAATGAATAGTCTTTATCGGGGAATTAACCACAAGTCAATCCAAACCTATTTATAGAATCATGGACGTATATGTTAGTGTGTGCAAATTATTGTCTCGCAGTTTATTTTATTATTACACCATTGCCAGGGTTGTCTTTTACTAAAATGTCTGATGATTTTAATGGTGACATTCGGGTGCCCCAAATCAAATGCTGGTGGAAAAATTTAACAGTTGATTAAAACTATTTATATTATGTACTTGTCGAATTTTAAGAAAGTAAATCTCCAGGATTTTCCGTATTTGCTATTAGTTTTATACTAAGCCCGCCGTACCAATCCTTCATTCTCATTTCTGCGACTTTACTAAAGGTACTTCCTCTTGTTCCAATGCCAAATGATGCTTTTGTTAATATCGATCCTTCTACCATCGAACGTCCAAAAACACCAAATTTCTCTTCGACATTATACAGTTTGTAGTCAACCATTTTCCATCCAAGTTCACTGATTGCCCTTAATTCGACTGGGTTTTGTGAATTAGTTGCGACAAATACTGGGAGATCCATGCCAGATAGCTCTTGTCTGATATATGATACCGTATTCTGGAGTGTTTCGAGCGTTGGCCAACAATTTTCCCTTGCTAATGGATTTACTATCTTCTTACATATCTTTTTGAAATCACCTCTTCGCAAATGAATTCCAATGTAAGGTTTAACTCCGAACATGTCATAAGTTATTCTGTCGGCAAAAATTGATAGTTCTTTAGAATAATGAAAGTATTTGCCAATAGATTCCCATTGTTCTTTTAACCTCCATCGAAGATAGAAGGCATCTGATAGACAGATCAAATCATCATCAATCTCATTGAGCGCTTTTGCAAGTGCTGATGGATTGTCGGCCAATCCGCGCTCTTCAAAATGTAAAGTCATGTTGTAACGTTCCTTATAGAATTTGTCTGGAAAGTTTGTATGCAAGTTAGTTAATGATTGCGGACTAGGTCGAAATTACACGGTTAGTTAACCATAACTTGCAACACTCACCCGCATGTAATGAAGATGTCCTTGTATGTCGTCCAGTTAAACCAACACAAGTCATTTCTTTCTCAGGCACGAGTTGTTCGTAAACATCGTCCCATTCCATCAACGGAATGCCTGTCTGTTCTGTGAACGCTTTCAAATCAAAAAACCTACTCCAACTTGACGGTTCAGCATTCTGACCATTTTCTTCATTCGGTGATGGTCGCAGCGGTGGTATAACTAATGTCCTGTTCAATGCTGCAGCGAGTGTTAAAGCTCGCACGATCTCCAAAAACTGATACGTTGTGCCCGAATGGGGTAGATACGTTATTAGTTTATTAGGCGATGGGCGATAATTGAACAGTTCGTCTGAGAGCTGTGACGGAGATCCTGTCGAGCTCTTTACAGGAGTGGATAATGGTCTGGCAGATCCATCTGCGTCTGCGGAATGGGGGAGATCCAAAGGAAATGTCTCTTCCAATAACAAAAAGTTTTCACCCACTCTTAACCATAGTGTTATAACGAATAGACAAAATGTTGTGAGCAGCAAGAATATGATTTGTTTTAAGCTGTAAATGGGTGTAAACGGTTTTCGACAGGGCTTTTCCGTTGTGTATGAAGGCAGTGCCGTAGGTTTTGTCATGGTGATTAGGTGTTGAGGTTTTTACGTGGGGTCGCTTGTTTTGCTTGTCAATGACGTCAAACTAGAATATTTCAACAAGCTCGTATTCAAAATAGTGCGTGCGAAGGCGATTCACGGAGGAAAGCGGCAGATTGCTTTCTGGCCTCTTTCCGTATTTATATGACTGCCATTCACTGTTGTATTCCCATGCAGTATTTATATTATTAGCGTAACCAAAAATAACACAAGAAACTTACCGACTCCCGTCAAAAGCCCGTGTTACACCCTGCAGCAGCATAACGTATTTATTAATAGAACTTCCATAAATAGTCTAATTTTTAATGCACCGCAGTTCATACATAATTAGTTTTCAAGCTGTGTCACTTTCCATAACCGAGTTATCATTGTCTATGATTGCTTATCGATATATTGTGTACCGCGTTTGAAACACCCAGAACTTTGTTTATCAGTGAAACATCTGTGTCTTATAAAAATTCTTTATTGGGTTATGCAAGTTTACAATTAATCGTGTCAAATAAAAACGTACTTTGTATTACACAAAGAAGGAATTGAAAACTCTTCACCATAGAGAACTAGTGCTCTATGCAATGATTACTTGATCTGTGTCCAATTACGTTTCAAGCCAGTCAGATGCGTTTACAAAGTAAAAATGAGACAAAAGAAAAAGGTATCGCTCTCATTGTCGGTCCGCAATGCCAAGAGAATGGAATCAAATTTTCTATTTAAAATGTCAGCACTTTTGTTTTACTCGGAAAGGAAAATGGATAATAAGCAGCCACTATTATGACAGACTTACTGGTTGAACAAGCATTAATTTTAAATCTTGCGTAGATTATGTCTTTTCCACGTCTCATTATCCATTTCTGTCTGCGCCGCTACGAGTTTATTATACCAGATACGGCAAGCTCCAATATCAATGACATATTAAACCGGAGATTGTAAATGTTATTGCTTAATTTTAATATATTTAATATGGCAAATTACCGTATTAGTAAATTCCAGTGACATAAACAAAATAAGCAATATAATAATTACTATGGAACTCATTAGTAGTATTAGTTGTGTATCGACGCTGATATTTGGTTGTACAAATATTTTACTCCGCTCGGCTTTCTCCTATCGGTTAAGAATTGTCTCTAAAAAGTTTATTACATTTTGAATTTTCATTATGCGTTTATTACATTTATGCTTTTATTGGAAAGCAAAAGTTTATCGTAATACCCAAAATGTATGATGACGCCAATTGTCAATACATTTAAATTCGGTTGTTTAAGCAAATGTTGAAATAAATAATTTTTGTGCCTTTCTTTAACGCAAAATTATTGACGCAATAGAACAAAGATTTGTACACAGTGAAACTCGATATAACGGGGACTACGGTTCCAGCCCTTTTCTCCATTATATCAAGAGATCCGCTATATCGAGTTTTCATAGTATAACGGATATCATAATAAGCTACGTAGTACTCCGTTATATCAAGTAATCTGCTCGATATTTGTTTAGCTCAAACTACGAACGCCTTACACTATTACTATTTGATTTGCTCTCATTATCCTCAAGTAAAGTTATTCTTTATCTGCTTGAATCGAAGACTTTGTTGACAGTTATTCCTGTTATTTTATAGATGTTTTTTAATTTTATTAGTATGCAACAACAGCGCAGCGTTATTACTTAGTGAGTTAACTAACCATATTAATATTACGAGTAGACACATCTCCCAAAATGAGAAAATCCAACAATTGGATTGGTTGAATAGATTTTTTTATTATAAGCACGTGATATCCGTTATATCAAGTATATTTACTTTTTGGTCAGCATCCGTTATAAAATCGCGATAAACCCGTAAGTCTCCAACCTTTCACTCGGGTTATCGGAACACGTAATTTTTGAGTAGTAATCTTTACCGTTTTAGTGAATACAATACAATTAATTACCCAATGATTTTGCTAAGAATAATTGCATCATTGACATTGTCTCATTCCGTAAACAACGTATTATGTAATATATACGAGTGTACATATTATTATAAAAAACGTTATTATGACATCATAATGATTCAGAAGACAAACGCGCTTACATCGAATAAATATATAACTCATACAAAGTTGACTGCCAAATCTTCTGAATTTTTTCATGAAACGCATTACATTTGTAAAATGAGTACGGAAAGAACATCTCGACTTGGGTGTTGGCAAATCAACAGTGGGGAATATTATTAGAGAGAAAAAAACATGGCTTGCAGTTACCGAAAGTTCAACAGATGCCAATAAGAAACGCAACCGTGGTTGTAAATGGCCCCAGTTGGAGGAGGCATTAGCGATCTGGGTAAATCTTGCGGACGCGACTAATCATACAATAACTGGTACAATTTTGAGTCAAAAGGCAATACAATTCGCCGAAAGGTTAAATATCCCTGATTTTCAAATCCTCAAAGAAAGTATCAATTTTCTTTCGTATCATTGTTAAACTAATGAGTAAATCAATTTGGCTAATAATATATTTGTTTTTAAACAGGGCTGGATGGCAAATTTTAAAAACGAAACAATATTAAAGAATATTATAAATTGGGAGAAGCAGCGAGTGCGCGATTAATTAATTACCCGAATTCAGAACTGAGCTCCAATCTGTAATTTCGTAGTATAATTTAGAAGATGTGTATAACTCAGACGAAACGGGTCTCTACTGGAAGTTAGAATCTCATAAATCACTTGCCAGCGGACCTATTAGTGGACTAAAAAAACCAAAAGACAGAATTACTATAATGCTTACAAGTAACGCGACTGGAACTCACAAACTACCCCCGCTATTTACAGTATTTATAAATATAAAATCCACGCTGTATTCACTATATCGATAAAAGAACACTTCCGGTGCAATACTACTGGAACAACGCATCGTGGATGCAAAGCTCAATATTTAAAATGTGGAAACGTCTTATTATTAATAAACAATGCTTCATCTCATCAATTGGCTGAAAGCGAAATAGAAGAATTAAGTAACATTAAATTGTATTTTCTTCCGCCGAACACAACCTCTTATCTTCAGCCGATTGATCAAGGCATAATAAGTTCATTCAAAGTAATTTTATACATACACTATTTTCTCATATTTTAATAAAAAGAACTTACATTATTCGTTGTATTAGGCTCACTCTGGACTATTATGCGAAGATAAGATTCGAGCCTTTGACGAACACCAAAAACTCGGTATGGAAATTCCCAAATTAAATATTTTGAACGCAATAAACTGGACTGCACGAGCGTGGGATAATACAATACATCGTTGTTGGCAAAGAACGGGAATTTTGCCTGACAATGAAACGCACGGAGAAAGTGAATTAGAAATAAATTAGAAATCGAAGAGAATGATGTCCAATCCCTTATGCATCAAATGAACGTGGACGATATTGTAGCGAGCGATTACATTAACATTGATACGAGGATAGAAGTAGCTGATATGATTGACGAAGGGAATATAATTGCTGCAGTGCAGGAAGCACCAGAAGAAGAAGACGGAGGGGAGGAAGAAGGGGAAGAATGCAATATAATATCAAATATAACGTTCAAAATATATTCAATTATTTACGACAAAATTCTGATGTAAAAGTAAACGTATCCATAATCTCAGGATTGAAAGACTTACAGCGAGAAATTAGAAGAAAGCAAAATGCTTCTCTAAAGCAGCTCACGTTGGAAAAGTTTTGTAAAAAATGAATTCGTGTATAATATCTAAGATACTTTTGTTGTCCTTTAATATTTGATATTATTATATTTACAGTCAACTCTGTCTATACCGGCACGAGTGTTTTGGCAGTTTCTGGCCGTTATAATGAGAGACCGGTATATA